AATTTCGCCTGTCACCAAAGAGAAGGAGACGAGCATATTAACACGTCCCTTGACAAACGTCAAGCGATCGTTATTATTATCTCTACCTTTCCCCCTCACCCCTTTTATACTCGATAAACGAACGGAACATTTTAAGACTGAGCGATGACTTCAAAGACATTCGTACCCTGCGATAACGCTCATACATACATATATACATACATACACACGTACGTTCCTGCCTACGTACACATAAACTCATTCTTGCAAGGACTACTACGAACATTTTGACCACCTTGTATCAACCAAAATACATTAATTTTATTTGTAGAGACCTTAATTGATTTATATGTATATAAATTTGTTGTTTCACTTTAAAAATTGAATTTCTTATTTTATACCCCTCTTATCTTATTGGGCTATCTAAAAAGGCCAAATCAAACTAATCTGTTTCAACACTCATACACTATAGTTTTATTTATTTTGTTGCACACGAAAAATACGTGACAACCATACCTGGCTGATGACGCTTTATGGGGAGACATAATTTATCAGTTCATCCCCAGATTCACAGAACGTGTCTGCAGATCTTGAAGACAACTTACTGGAGACGGCGTCATGGTAGATGACGAAGACATCAATTACGCTGACAACGTAAGATGAAAGCTGTCATGATGTCGACCTCTAACACGAACAGGAGCGAAGCAGACTAAAATCTCCTTAACAGCTCTGTGAATAGGAAAAATACATAAATGTAACGTTTGGTTATTAATTTAAACTCTTTACTACGGATTAATTACTTTGGGTCATGAATATAACTTTCAGTCATACCGTTCCGAATATGGCGACGCACGTAGCCGGAAAAAATGTTAGTATTTAATTCTTGTGTATTTTTTAAAGCATTTCACCCAAGCAAGGCTGGAGTGCCACTAGCACGCAAGGGGTTACAGAGAGTGGGAGCAAGAGTAAAGAAGGGTGTTTGAGAAAAGGATAAAGAGAAGAACGGGGAACTAGATCAAGGCATCAGATGTCGATTGGCATTACAGTTGAATATTTGAAAATTATAGCTATCAGGGAAGCAAGCCAGGTAGTTCCACAGAAGGGAAGTGCGAGATAAGAAGCTGTTTGAGTAGAAGAGACGGCTACATTTAACTGTTTCGACAATGAAAGGGTGGGACCGAGATGCCAACCTAGCAGCACGCTTAAATTCATGCAGTTTGGGAACCAATGAAATTTACACGTCAGAGCAGTTGCCGTGAAAATACTTTTAGAAAAGACAGAGGGAAGCCACAGCACATCTGTGAGAAAGTGACTGTAGACGAGATACCAGATCAGGATCCATCACATTGCATATCTGTCTCTAGATTTATAATACGTAAAGTAACTTTTAAGCTTAAAATATTGGGGATGCATATTATACACGAATAATTATGATATTCAGATAGAGAATATTGTGTAACTTGCTTCGTAGCTAAAATACTTACTTATTCTCCTCCAACGGTAGCGGTCGGGATTCGCACAAATTGATAGGCTTACCCACGAAAGATAACTCCTGTTTTTGTTTTGTTTTTTTGTTTTGTTTCCTTTTAGAAAACGAAGCCATTCCCTCCTTTCCTGGGCGATGCTACATTTTTCAGGGTAGACAATTGTATATAAATTCCGGTCCACATATTTCTGCATGATTGTTGTCTGTCCTTTGAATCAATCTGTAGTTTCTTGAACCAAACAGTAATTATTGACGAATCGCTAGGAGTGTCTTGAAAAACCTTACAATATCTAGAGACTTCCATTCCTTCATCTTGCCAATTCTTCTCGGGCTAACAATGGTTATTTTTATCCGCTGAGCACTGCACTAAAAGCAGATAGTTTCCTGAACCACTCGACAAGATTAAAAAAAATCTGACAAATGAATCTTGACTTGTCGGCAATCAACTTGGAATTACAATGTCTTTGATTCCTTGTTGTTTACCTCGTGAATCTTCTATTTCTTAGCAGACTCTGCTTCCTGGACTTAATTTTTTTTTTCGATCAGATACCAGTTCTTTGGATTATCCGGTCTGCAACAAAAGCCGATGATGCAGAATCTATTTGTCGATGGTATTCGTCTATTGAGGGTTTTAAATATGAAAAAAAGAAAAACCAAAGAAAAAGAAATAAAAAGTAAAAATTTCAGACGCACAATATTTTTAGAAATTGCCAATTTATCCGAGGGTAACGTTACATTTCGAGCGATTTCTGAATGAAGATTTTATCGATTGGATGTACAGATCGATAAGAGAAGATAAGTTTTCAATAATCGATTTGTCTTTGTGACAGCAGACAGTTCTCTATGGCATAAAGAGAAAAGGGAATCATCAACCGCTTGCTTTTTGGTTTACATAAATTAATTAATTATTCACAATCATTCATTCATACGAAAACAAAAAATGGTAGACGATAGACATTCGATGATGAACGCACCACTACTCCATATCATCAAAAGTTGATGCAAATGTCTACTTAAAAATTAATATGAAAATATTGAAAAGGATTCTGAGAACGATACGAGATTTTGATAAGTTCTTGATCCCACCTAATTTCCCAAATAAGTATTTCAACAACAAATATGTTTTAAGAGATAAAAAAAATTAAGAAACAGTGTACGAAATGTATTTCAGCAATTGAAGAATACAATGGACTGCATATATATTTAATTAATTCATCGAGTCTGATAGAAACCCCAACAAAATGCAGGAAGCACTGGACGGCCGTTTCGTCCTATATTTGGGACTCATCAGCAGTGCGTAGCCACTACCCAGAATTGAAACCCTGACAGTTAGGGTGTCAAACAAACATCATACCAACTGTTCCAATGGGCCTCGGGGACGAAGAGATTGCAAATCAGACTCAATATAGCGCCGATCGCTATTTCTATCAGACTCGATGAATTAATTAAATATAATTATCAAATCCTCCTAAAAATTTCTATCTGTGTATATGATTGCTTGAACCGGCTTCTGATGCTCTAGAGTGAGCGGCTTGGTGAGAGTAGTCGTGGCTCCAGGGGGCACAGTCCTATGGTTAGAGAGAACTCAGTAGAGTTCCACCACGGAATATGTGAACGATCAATGTCAACAGTTGCAGAATGCCCACAACATATCTTCAAAACTCTCTCTCTCTCTCTCTCTCTCTCTCTCTCTCTCTCTCTCTCTCTGTGTGTGTGTGTGTGTGTGATAAATTCAGCTACCTACTTTTGCACTTTTGCTGGAGCTTCATCCCCTTGGGGCCTAAACCATTGTTCTGCAGGTACTTGATAACGACATGATGCCAAATGTTGTCCATTTTCACAGCTCTAGCATCAATCCTTCATAGTCAGCCTATGAAGTTTTCAGCCCACCCTTGTACACTAAGGTAACTGAAGTGTTTAGAATTTATCAACTCATCATCCTGATTCGGCAGGTAAGTCGGCCTCGAGTATTTCACTTGATGCTTAAATGATTTTCATAAAAGCTTAATTGTTAGTACCAGAAGACGAGTTCATAACATTTCCGATGTGGCATGGATTATAGAGCGCTCACTGTTCGTTGCCCAATGACAATTAGCCAGATCACCTACCAAATTATAGTGAGTGTGATCCTCACTGGACTCCTTAGTTTTATGGCCATATGCCAGGTGAAACTTCTCTTAGTAAATATCAAGTATAAAAGGATAATGATCTTTGCTTCACTGCAACAAAAAAAAACCAAAGAATCATTAGATTCATTTAAAAACTTGGTAAAAACAAGTATACGGGTAAGTATCAGAAAGATGAAAATATATACACATGTTAATACCCCATGACGAGTAGATTGGGTGATTCCAGGAGGGTACTTCTACGAAACTCTCTGGAATCAGTATGCTGAAAATAACATTAATCAGCTAAGTGACAAACTTTTTACTTGTATTAATTCTATATATTGCTGATACCCTCTCACGAGTGGCGGAGTGATTCTCAAATGGTCCGTCTACGAAACTGTGGAGTCGGAATGCTGAAGGTAACATCTTGATAAATCCGTTCAAATTCCCACTTCGTTATAGAGTTATTTCGATTGTATATTTTATCTTTCGTGTGAGTGTGTGCGCAAGTGTGAGTGAAAGGGAGATAATGAGAGTGTCTATGAGTGAATTTGTGAGTGTGTGTGCGTGTTCAAGTTACATTTCATTGTAACCTTTATTAATAAGCATTAATGATTCCTTCAACATTACGTATGAATTGTGAGAAATCGATTGTTTTATTAAAGCTCTAATATATAAAAAAAATATAATGTAAAAAATAAACGCAAAAGAAGAAAGTGGAAAGATAAGAATAAAAAATCAATTGTCTCACAATTTCTAGGTAGATTTTGGCATGGGATGGTTTTCATTTTCTCTAAGAGAAATATAATCGCTTGCATAACTTAATGCGACTTTATGCTATATCTGGCATCTTATTTGAGCATTTAAAATGAATTCAAATTTTAAACAAATCTTTGCATCAGACTGACACGCAGTAATTGTCTGCATTTTCTTGCAAAGTGGCTTCGTGATTACATTACAAAAATCCGAATGCAAAATTCTAATTCTTATTGTGGTTACGAGCCATCTGAACCATCATCATCGTCATCTGAATTCTCATCAACTTAAGCGGTATTATCGTCCGGACAAGTCGATTGTTCATTTCACTCTCCTCAATATAACCCCGGTCCATCTGCAAAGCGCCGTCTTCGATCGTCCGCTGATACCAGAAGAGGGATTGGCGCTCAAGAAATGTTCTTGCTGAATGCTGAATGATTCATGACGTTAGTAATCGATAGACGTGATTGGAATCGGCACAGCGGCCACAAAGGAAGATGTCTCTTCTTGCCATGCTCGGCTGGGGGAGAAAACGTGGTAGACACGAGGAGTGAGTGTCAAGGTCTCTGCAATACTGGAAGGGTCTTTTGTTTCAGTCGCCTTCTCTAGCTGTTTCTTTTTTTATATCCATGGCTATACACTTGTTCTATCTTTCTTATTCACTATTTGGCTTACGGCCATATCATACAGTTGTAACGCCGGTTCTCGTAAGATGACCGAAGTTAAGCAAAGTCGAGCCTGGTCAGTAACTATGGGTGACCGTTTGGGAATACCACGCGTTGTAGGTTTAGATGCATAGTTGGTGTAATGGATAACGGCTCGGAATTTAAAATCGGAGAACCGAGTTCTAATTCCAGTTGGGTTCGTTATATTCACTTACTCGCAAATATCCTTGGAAGAGGTGAGAATCCACTTCTCCCCCCAGTCACGGGTTAATGTATCCGCAAAATCATTATTATCTCATAAAAATTCTTACAATCTAAAAATAATTCCTGACTTTAAATAACCTGATAATCCGTAACAAAACAATTCAATCAATCCTTCATATTGATCAGCATTCAATTAATTTAGTACAAAGGTGAAAGTGTGTGGGACCCATTGAATATCGAACTCGCTACAGCAATAGCGGTTCTCGAGATTAGCTTCCTACCCACTGCTCCATGACGGGGAGCCTGGTAACGTCTAACTTTGCCTATTTAGTACAACAGTGCAACTCAAATAGGTTAGAACAAAACAAAAGATAGGGGGTGAGAAGTTAATGAAGAGAGTTTTCCCGCCCTTGAAAATCAGTAGACAAAATGATAACTTTTACCTGGGTTCGAACACAGATTTCTTGTACGTGCAAATAACTATCGATGCAGGAAACAGTTATTAGTTAGGCTTAGTTTTGATCTGAGAAATGTGTCGGTAGTGTAACGCATTAGTAGGATCGACGAACCGTTTTCGAATTCAGGGCTAGTCTGTTGTATTCACGTTCAGACAAATAATGTCCTTTTGGTAAAGGCATGAATCCATCTCTTCTTTCCACCCACTCCCCACCGACACACATATCAACTGGTGGGGGTGTAATCAGTTTAAAATAATGAAAACTAAATTCCAAATCGTGGACGAAGCCAACGGGAAACCAATCTTACGTCCTTAAGGAATTTTCAAAATAAAAAGCTGAAAATCTAGACGGGACATTCTGAATTTAAAACCATGAGAAAAAAAAACTCCACTATCTTACTCAAAATATCATGAAAAAGGAATCTGTTGAAAACCATTATCTTATGAAGGGACATGGTATTGGAAAAAATAGCTCTAACACAAGACAAGTGTAAGCAACATACTAAATCGTTACTAGTAGTATTAGTGCGCAAAAGGAACTTGGTGAAGTGTCTTTATTTAGTAAGTTTAGTCTGTCGCAAAAGTGTACGACACTTGATCATAGAGTGAAATTAAACTCACTCATAATGCTAATCACCGAGCTAGTGTAGACGTTATATATATATACATATATATACATATATATATATATATATATATATATATATATATATATATATATATATATATATATATATATATATATATATATATGCATGTTTCATTAATAACGACAGACAAGGTACTACGGTTAATCTTTTTATTTAATTTTCTTGTGTTCGAACTACGAACAAAAAGCCACAATGTGCTAACCGTATTCGGAAATTAAAAACATCCCTACCACACACTAATACATGCACATAACGCACACACTCAAGTAATCTGAATCATCTTTGATAATGGATAAAGGTATAGCCGAAAGCGCTCGGAACTATAAAACATTTGGACAGTTCTTACACACCCTTTGTCCAGAAAAGAAAGCTCTTGTTCGAACACAAGAAAAATTAAATAAAAAGCTTAACTTCACACAAACACGCACACATCTCTATCAAATTTTTAATCGATTATGGTCGACAATACTTAGAGGATCATCACATCAAAAGAGGACAAACTACCATCAATAAATTGTTTCGATCTCGGCTCGCACGTGTTAATCAGCCTTTGAACCGATATATCATTTTAATCACGCAACACCAAAATGTGTCCTACCACTATCGCTTTTGAACACACTTTCATACATACACCGCGGAAGTCGGCTCGTGACCGAGTAAGATCACCTCTAAGGTTCGTAACACCGAAACGAATATTTTAGGGGTGATTTAGGATGCCGTTGATGATGTCTGAAATGGCTCATAGGGCCGACAAGTGAGTTGCAAGCCATCTCACACCGAGTACGACCCCCCCCACACACACACACTTTGTTTTACAGTAAGGTTCACCTTTTACAAGGCCCAAGAAGACACTCGAGGTTAAGGATTTTATATATATATATATATATATATATATATATATATATATATATATATATAGAGATAGAGAGAGAGAGAGAGAGAGAGACTATATTTAGTCGTCCCCCACGAGGGCGTCATGTGGCACAAGGCTTTTTAACGTGGGCATTTCCGAGCCATTTGGCTCGGCCAAAAATAGTTTTATTTGAACCCGTATAAACGGGTTCAGGGCCATTTTACCTCCCGAAGGAGACTCCGCCCTTCGACGTAGCCTCCTTCGGGTTCCTCTCAGTCCGTAGACAGAGAGTTGAACCGAACCGTCGCTCAGAAAGTGAGAGAGACAGAGAGACAGAGACAGATAGATAGATAGATAGATAGATAGATAGATAGATAGATAGATAGATAGATGCTGTTCAAACGTTATTTTTTATAAAACAGTAGTAATGACATTTACCTGTCTGAATGTTCGAGAAATTTCGTAGAAGATATGTGCTTCTCCGACAGGAATCGAACCTATAACCTTAATGGGAAACATCGTTTGATCTGACGTGCTGTTAACCAGTCAGTCACAAAGAAGCTTCTGGTTATCAAAGTCTCTGAGTGGCTAACAGCACGTCAGATCAAATGAGAATTCCCATTAGAGTTACAGATCTTTTGCAACGCAGTTTCTTTTATGGAGAAGTATTATTAGTAACTAGAAAGTTGAAAATTTGTAATATTTTGTCGTCTATGACAATTCTTAAGCGATTTTTACTAACTGCAGGAGTTATATATCAATGGTTTATTATTATTTGCCTTTTAATCTTTTATGTAATTAATGTGCATCAGTTAAAAATAAGTTAATAGCATTTTTGTTGTAGTTTAAATCGTTTTTATTATATATATTACTATGTTTAATTTCATTCGATCATTGACGACGTGATAACGAAAGCCATTATTAATAAGTCTTTGTTTAATATTGGATTATATATAATATTATCTGTATGAACTATAGTTCTAGAGAAAGAGATCAGTTTTGCAGGACTGATAAGGTTTTTTTATGACTGCCACCTTGTATCATTAAGAGCATTTGTTTTTATAGTTAAGGGTGAATCGATTTTTATATGTTGATCCAATGAAGTTTTGATCATTAATATCAATAATGACATCCTGAAAAGGGAGTGTTTTATTGATGCTATCAAAGGTTTCCTTTAGTCTTTTATCAAGATCTTTTGTGAGGAGACTGTCAATCATTCAAAGTATGCTACAACACATATGTCTACGTCTAGGCAAATAAGTGTTGATATCCTACTGCTCAATGAGCAGCTATAGCCAGTAGGAAAGAGAAAGAAACATTCTTGAAAATGACCATATTGGAGCAACGTTTAGGTCTACTTCATGGCTGAGGTAGTACCTACCAAATCAATGAATGATCGGCGTTGAACCAGACGACGGCCAAAAATTCAAATGCTGATTTTTCAACGGTAACAGGTTTTTACTTTTGTATGATTGGAGGTATACAGAGTATGACAGAAATACCCCCATATACATCCAAGAAATGCCTCCCACGTATACCTACTAGAAATACCTCCCACATATACCTCCAAGAAATACTTCCCATGTATACTTACCAGAAATATCTCCCACATATACCTCCAAGAAATACTTCCCATGTATACTTACCAGAAATACCTCCCACACATACCTCGCAGAAATACCTCCTACATAATGGTAAGATTAGTGGCTGTGGTGTCGCCATCTTGCTAATGTCTTATCATTATGTGGAAGGTATTTATTGGAGGTATATGTCGGAGGTATTTTTGCCACACCCTGTACAATGTTTCTATCCTGCATAAACAGCAGTAATGTTTGAGTTAATTGTGTTCGTGTGGGAGGTGCAACAAGATTCCGAATGATAATTCTCAAGACATACATGTCCTTACTAAACAAACTAACACAATACAATATTCCAAGACCTATTTTAACTTCCATTTTGATGTTTTAGTGAGCTAAGTATATGTCAAAAGGTCGAGTTTAAAGTGGGTTGGTAGCCCACGCGTACGTGAACAGGAGCTAAAAATTGGTCAAACCCCCATCGGCATTTCTCCTTTTAAGGACGACTCAAGCGCTAGGTAATAACCTTGATCTACTCCCAAAGGAAAGCTAATGCATGGAATGATGTCCCATTCCCCCGCCTACTGATGCTTAAGATGTTGCAGTGAGTATATGTCACAAAGCGTCGCTTATCCTGTAATGGAATTGGTACTATAGCCTAAAATCATGATTTCGAAGGCTGATTTTCAAAGCAGACATGAAAGCTCACTTTGGATGACTGGAGGAAGACAATCTTCGTAACCCCTATTTTGTCTTGTAATAACACTGTTAAGCTTAGTGAATATTAAAAGAAATACTTATTGGTGGTAGCGCAACGAAATTAGAACTTTGTAAATTTTTTCAAACAAAACTTTGCAAAATTTTTCCTTTTCATTTATTTATTTATGGAAAGTCTGTGAATATCTTCGGCAAAAATTTAGTTTTAAGTATTGGTCTTTGATTATAATCAAGTACTTTTAGAGAGCTTAGTTAGAAGATATTAGCAAGGAATAACATGGGACCTGAATCTCGGAAAAGCTATATAATTGCTAATGAAGAGATTTATAAAGACTCGAATGATCAACAGCAAACAGGATCACGTCATTTCAGATCAAGTGTTTCCTTAGACCCTAAGATTTACCTTCAGTTACAATTTTGTTTTCGTCTGACCAATTAATCCCACCTGGATTAACCTTTAGATGTTATCTTCAAAGATGGAATGTCGCGGATCCAAAGCATTTCCTTATGCACAATGAAAGGTTTATATGAAGCTTAGAAGAAGTGTTAATCTCATTGGACTTTTAATTTAACTAGAATCGCTTCAATATGGTTAAAACTCTCACAGAAAACAGTATTGTTTCAAGAAGCTATTTCAGGAAACATGTAACCGGTGTGTTGTC